CTGGCTATCTTGCATAATGAGAGTGACCTGGTCAACAGGGATGTACTGGGTAAAGGAAAGGGTATACTGCCGTGACAGCGTTCCATAAGTCATATCTCATATCTGAATGAAAGCTACAGTGTGCCAAGAAATGAATTTTGTCCTCAACTTCATTGCTGTTACATTTTAGACATTTGAACAGATTCAGTCCCTGTATACATCGTTCTGGTGAACTCCAGACTTCTCATATCAGCCTCCTAATATATATGAGATTATATGTGAATTATGACCCATTTATTTCAGGATAATGTTTATTAGTGGGGTAACAGCTGTAGTTTATGAGTGGTATAATCCAGAAAAGAACTGTATATATATGTTAGTGTGATAATAATCCATATTTGTTTGTGAGTGAACACACATCAAGTATCACTGATATATTGCCTTTCTCATCAGGAAAGCAAGAGAGCAAAATGTGTATGGTAATTTTTGGAGAGTACCCAGAATTTGTTTATGGGTAAATATGTATGGTTGTGGATATGACTAATTTGAAGACAAGCTGTGTTGATGAACGGGATGAACCAACATGATGACAGGCATGTTTTGTGGCGAGTCATGCAGAGATCCACCAGATTTACCCCAGCTATTTAGAAGCTGCCCCTCTCTCTGCTGTAGAAGGAGAACAGAGTCTTTGGTTACACACAAGATGGCATGTTGATCCTCTGTAAGCCTTCACCTCATGCTCAGCCTTCAGGCTTTACTTAAGTATATTTGGCTAATGAGGACTTTGTTCAATAGTTTCAGCTTCTTTGAACTAAAATTTAATTATATTTATTTAGCTAGTCATTAGTTTGCTTAAGTTTGAATTAAAAGTAAGGAAATATGTTGTGTAATATATTATTGGAAGATATGTTTATATCTATTTGCAACTGAAAATTCCAGTCAGATCAGTTTAGTAGGGGCTGTAGTGTGAGGTTATTTGTACTATTACTATTATATTCTATAATAATGGTATGAACACACATAAAAGTTTATGAAATTCAGCTGTCAGGCAGTTCTTATTCCCCACTAAATAAACAAGAATTGTTCTTTATTCTGACTGGTTGAAAAGCATGATCATATGGTATTCGATTCGCGGAAACTGCAAGAATATTCACTGCGTATTGACACATACAAATATCGCTCACAATTGTATTGTTGCGTCGTCAGCAGTGGTGACGTCATTCAAATCATATTGTGGTGTAAAGTCGGAATGACGTCACAAATGAGCAGTTCCAGATGCTACCTTGGGAACCAGTTGAAACTGCCAGCTGATGACAGTAAAACACCCATGTGGGCCTTTGGTTTACTTTTGTGTTTACAATGTTGATAAACATTATGTGTTGGCCAATTTCTGGTTGTTATTGAGTCGTTTCCAAATGAATTCCCTTGCTTCAAATACAAACACATGATGTTTATCTCCTAAGTCAAAAATATGATGTCTAACATTTAATAAGGTTAAAACAGAAATAGAATTAGTCTTAAGCATAATAGAATTCCCTACGCAACACTGTAAACGGATTCTCCGAAGTGTGAATGTTAACCAAACTTTGACCACCCGATCTTATTAGTCGCTTCTAACGACAAGCATGGATGCTGAAGACCACTTCTAACCCGGGATGTTTGGTCAGGTGTACTTACATTATTTAGGGAGTAAATAAGTTTTGCTTCATAAAATAAATAGAAATATTCGCTAGAAAGCATCACACTAGTCATCATTGGACTCTGTAATATTCACTCTGGACAAATCACGGTTTATGCTAGTTTGTGCTCTTATGTATATTCTAAGTTTGTATGAAGCGTAAAGTGTATCGGCTTCAAGTTAATATGGAAATATGACATTTCACATGTTCAGTGCAGGTGCTCCTAACTTTAACAAGTGAGTGTGTGAATTTAGTTTTACGCCGCTTTGAGCATTTATCCTTCACACATTTTACCCATGTGGGGAATCGACGTGATAAGCGAACTCTTTAACCACTGGGGTTAAAAAACAACAACCCCCAAACCCACAACCCCATAACCCCCTTCCCACCATACTTCATCCTTCATCCTTTCATCACTGTTCAGGTGGAGCTTACAAATGTTTGGCAACACATACAATATATTTCTGTACAAATGTTTGGCAACACATACAATATATTTCTGTACAAATGTTTGGCAACACATACAATATATTTCTGTACAAATGTTTGGCAACACATACAATATATTTCTGTACAAATGTTTGGCAACACTTACAATATATTTCTGTACAAATGTTTGGCAACACTTACAATATATTTCTGTACAAATGTTTGGCAACACTTACAATATATTTCTGTACAAATGTTTGGCAACACTTACAATATATTTCTGTACAAATGTTTGGCAACACTTACAATATATTTCTGTACAAATGTTTGGCAACACTTACAATATATTTCTGTACAAATAGTTTGGCAACACTTACAATATATTTCTGTACAAATAGTTTGGCAACACTTACAATATATTTCTGTACAAATGTTTGGCAACACTTACAATATATTTCTGTACAAATAGTTTGAAATTGTATCCTTTTGTAATTATTTTGCAATGCCAGATTCTATCCTTGTAGTGCTCAGTTTGAACACAAGAGATGAAACATGTACTATTTGTACAACTGTTTGTTTGTGGGTATTTATCATGGAAAGGTTTGTTGTGAAACTAACTTGCAAAGTATTACCAAAGCCTGTTGCAATGGGCAAGCAAGGAAGTCAGATTTTTACTTGATGACAAATGAATGACTGAATTGATCAATAAAATGTCTATGTTCGTAGAGTTACGACCTATCGTAACTGTTTTATGGATTGGGGGGGGGGGGCTTTCATGATGCCTGACAAAAATATTTTATGCCAGACATATGCTGTTGTATTTTGGGAATCTGTCGATAATTTGTTGAACCAGGCAGACATTGATGTATGGTGCTTTATTATAAATCCTTAGTGCCGTCATGTGCATGTATGTTAGAATGTCAAGTTTATTAGATTAGGTTTTACACAATGATAACGCTGTCCATTTTTTTTCTCAAATATCATGTATCTCGTGTTCATCATTAGTGTTATATACTCGGCTGCTGTAAGAGGAATATATTGCCTCAAGGTTCTCAGACTTTCATACCTGCATCCAACCTTTTCCCGTTATGCAAAGTATTATACAAGGTACTTGTGAGTAGGTGGTTTTGTGTGAGTGAGTGTGGTTTTATGCTGCTTTTAGCAATATTCCAGCAATATCACAGCAGGGGACACAAGAAATACACTCCACACATTTTGACACAAGTGGGGAATCAAACTCAGGTCTTCGACATAACAAGTTTATGCTTTAACCACTTGGCTACCCTACCACCCCATAAACTGTTTGGACACAAACAGTTGAACTATTTCAGCAATCTTCTTCATCCATTTGAAATCTTCGGAAAGACTTTCGCCCATATCTCCCCTTCTTGTCAAATCATATTACCAGAATATTACCTGAATATATATATATCTTTTTCCTCATCGTTAAAATTTAAGGGGGATGCGGACAGATGTCTTACCAAATCTTCATAAAGCTGTAAAAAAATGTGCCTATTAAAGGCTCTGGGACTGTCACTTTAACATCCTCATAAATAACTTCTTTAATTCTTTAAAAACTATTAATCATTCAGATACCAATATTAATACATGCGTTCACCCTTGTCAATTAAAGGCCATTTGTATTCAGTGATTTTTCAAGAGACATTTGACATTTACATTTTGATTTTATCATATTTTGATAGGACAGTCTTTTATATTTATTACCAGTTTAAATTTGTTTTAGGACTTTTTGGATGTCACTGTCCTAATAAATGACCCGACTGTGGGCTATCCGATTCTCTGTCAATCAGCTGACTGTATAGAGTAATGAGTACTAGTCTACTAACCCCCTATGTGCTCGGTAACTGCCCCAATCTATGAGGCTTTAACAAGCTATTGTTACCTACACATTGATCACACTCAACTTGGCTTACACAGGGTGGATTTCACACCCGGCTTAACAAAATCAATACATGGAATACAATATAAGCTGAGAGCATTTGAAAGAAGGAAATCGTCTATTTATCTTGTGATAAACACTGTCGTCCCTAGTAACCTAGGCTTGTCATAGCGTACGAGGAAACAGTTCACTTCACACTGCATGTGTTCATTACATGAAACACTGGGAGTAATGACAGTTTTCTGCACTCTTTGAAAATTGTCACTGTCATGCGGTATTTGTTTTAAGTTGTTGGGCGGCGACCCAGACTGTCGGTGTCAGGGCAGTTCAAAGAACATGTACGGGATGTTTGGGTCCATGCTGACGGTCTCAGTGTACTGTCATGATATGACTGGGCTCCCCTCTCTCCACTGTCACTGACAGGTGGAACATCTATGCCAGTCAGTCATTGATTGGGTATTGGAACGCTACCCGGTCGACATGTTTATTGAATGTTGTCATGGTGTGTTTTGATCGATCAGATTCCACCGACAAGCCATGCCACTTGATACAGCCAATATGTCTGTAGAACTTTTACTTTAACAAGATACCACCGGGACTTTGGATACCGGAATTTGATTCAGTTAATTCACTGAATTTTATGGATTCTTCACCGTATGAACAGACACTGATTCTGAAGTGTGGAAAGGAGTGTTTTAGAATGTGAAACAAGGCTGTGTGAAAATTATTTGTGGATCTTGATAAAGACGTGAATGATTGTGTACAGCATGGTTTAATTGTTTAATTACGAGTGAAATGACATGATCGGAAGATTTCGACTAAAATGTGTGTGGTAACTGCATGGATATTTAGTGACATTGTGCTTCTAGGGTGGTACTGACATAATTAGAGTGATGGCATTATTTAGGAAATTCCAGTCTCGGGTGCATCCTGAGCCAGCCCCTCAGGGGAGTGGAAAAAATGAGGATTCTACTTCTAAGGATTCTAAACTGAAATCCCTTTTTTGCTGCCAGGGATGCATGAAGAAAAAGCGTCCCGCAAATCGGACCGTGTTTGTAGGGAACCGGCCCCCATCAACAGAGGATGTGTTTGTTCCGGAAAAATACATCGACAATCGAGTCATCTCCTCGAAGGTAAGAAGGAAAACGTGAATCAGTATGGTTCAGCCATACCTGACATTTAAGTGCTTGTTATTTATGAAATTCCTTATCTACCTGTTATCTGCTATCCTGACAATTCAGAAAATGATTTATCTATTGATTGATATGCATGTTACATATTGAAATTTATTAATTTAGAGTTTTCTTAACATTGCATGTTGAGAACTCAATGTATTCAATGTAATTATGTAAAAGTTAACATTAAAACATCTTCCTCCTTATTATCAGTGAAACACATACCTCTTAAAGATCCATTAAATCAGTTATTAGTAATTATCCTGGAAATATAAATTTCAAATTTCAGTATGTGTAAGGACATTGATGGAGTCTTGGGTTTGATATCGGCCTCAGAACAGATTTAGATAAATTAGTGTGTGATCACTCACATTTGGTATTCATACTGAATATGTTTTACATCTCATCTTCCATCTAATGGCTACATTTAAAACAATGAGATGTCGAATTTTATAAATAATTCAGTTTAATTTAAAGTTGTAAGTGACTCCTAGTCTCCCCTCAGTTAAAATTGGCTTACTTTTTCAAACAAAAACGAGGAGGAGGTTTTAATCAAATTTATGAACCGACTGAAGATATACTTTAGATATAATTTTAATAATTGCTATTTACTGTTGAAATCAAATGGGATGCGACTTGCAGCCGACACCTTGCCTTGCACGCGCAATGCACATGTTCTGCACATGCTACCCGTGTCCTGCACTACCTGTCTTGTGGAGAACACATGGTTCATACTAACAAACAATCTCGTTCTTCCCAGCGATCTGTCGTAGCCTAGTGGATAAAACCACCAAGCTAGTGAGTGAAGGGTTTCAGGTTCCGAAACAAGGCATCTTCACTGTATATTGGAAGTTTTCAATAATGTGATATTTTACGATTGTATTCAGTGATAGCAAGACATAGTTATATTAATCTTCAAAACAAGTAATGATTCAAAGTCAAGGGCTATTCCTCAGAAAAATCCCTGGGATGCGAGCAATTCTGTAGAAAATCCACGGAATTTCATGGAGAATGCCCGCAAAACTGGCTGTTGAGGTTTACTCAGTAAATAGAGAACCTGGCAAAACAATAGAGTGACATCACTGGAGGTTGATAACAACAAATGAAAACCTAGTCTTTCAATCTAAGCCTGCTGTGCTAGTGGGGCAGTGGTGTAGCCAAGTGGTCTCCAGTCTCCAATTCATTTTATTCTCAAACCGAGCCACCCATGGTGGTACAAGAGAAAGGTTTTCTAACATAAAAATAATTAGTACTTTACAAGATGTCCGTTATATCGCATAAATAATTGGGGACATTAAGACGTTTGGGTTGGAAACAATTATATAAATATTTAAGTATAAACAAAAAAATATAGAAGCCAGTGTAGAAATTTGGCACACATATATTATAAATCACACTCCAAGGTTGGATCTTGTCTATTGTATGGAAGGTACTGATCTGTTACACATAGGAATTATGCAAGGATCTGGATGTCTTTTATATTTCTGGTACTCAACAATTTTTTGTATTGTATCAGAGAACTGTGTATATGTTTTTTATAGAAAAATTTGGATTTGGATTCATAGGTTTCACATTTGAACAGGTAGTGGAATTCATTGGCTGTATTACTTGACCTAAATTCTCTCTCTATGCCAAGCCAACAGCCAACTTCGACTGCAGATTATGATTACAAGTTCCATATTTCAGGATAGGATAATATATTTTGTTCAGGTAGAAGGAGAAAGTTTTCAAATGAAGGAATATCTTTTCAATATTTTTAATAATGCCCTTTTGATGAAAACTGACCACAAAATATATTGCTTGTTTACCCAATCAAATGACATGGAAGAGCAAAGTGATTTATTCCAAAATATCCATAATATTTTATTCACATTTGGCAATAACTTATAAAAATAACCAATCAAAAGTTGATAAAATGATGAAGATGTCCTGCTGCTAGTTGTCCATAGCAATCGATGGGTTTGGTGCAACACAGCCCACTGATAATCATCACCCTGCTTTATGGCCGCTGATAGAGACATTAGTCTGTGATTGTATTGTGTTGTATGGAACATTCCATCTATATTATCATGTGAGAGGGGCCTTAATGCATGTACTTCGGTGTCGTATTCAGCAAGAGGTCATGTGATCGAGGTTTAGTCATGTTATTGTGTACACTGGGGATTGTCCACATTGACCAGATGGTGTGGGCAGAATGTTTACAAGAGGGACTATCACTAGGGAATGTCCTCATGACTATTTTATAGCCATTAACCCAGTCTGTGAGCTGATCACACTCTCAAAACACAGGCTGAGATTGACTCCTGTAACATGAACTGTATTGTTTATTGAGTCAGAATACAGTCAAACTTGTCAACAGTTTATAAAACAGTGAGTGGAAATATCACAACCTCCAAAATATCAGTTAACTTGCAAGGGATATATGTCATCAAGAAATTTTATTTTTAGAACATGCTGCGATGTTTTTTATGTTTCTGAGCCCCTTGCATCAGCCTGTCTGCATCTCCTCTCCAGACACACACACACACACACACACACACACACACACACACACACACACACACACACACACACACACACACACACACACACACACACACACACACACACACACACACACACACACAGACACACACACACAGACACACACACACAGACACACACACACTCTTCATCGGGCCCACCCCACTCCTCATCAGCCCCACCCTCTCCTAATCAGGCCCACCCCGCTCCTCAACAGGCCCATCCCACTCCTCATCAGGCCCACCCTCTCCTAATCAGGCCCACCCCACTCCTCAACAGGCCCACCCCACTCCTCATCAGGCCCACCCTCTCCTAATCAGGCCCACCCCACTCCTCAACAGGCCCACCCCACTCCTCAACAGGCCCACCCTCTCCTAATCAGGCCCACCCCACTCCTCAACAAGCCCACCCCACTCCTCATCAAGCTCTTTCCTCACTCCTTGACTCAACCCTTTTTAAAACCTTTAAATGTACTCCCTGTCTCCTGCAACAAGACATACATGTGACCTACAGACAACATTGTTGAGCATTGTGGCAAAGAGATTACAGACATGAAAGTTGAGAAAGCATTCAATTTAAAAAACCAAAAACATGTTTATGATGCACCATCTTTTCCACATTTGGAATTTGTGTTTTTCACAATATTGCGTAACATAAAGATAACACACATTGACTTTCAAATGCTACTGTGTAAAATGTCTCACAGTAGTTATCTGTGTACTGGAGTCATCCATTATGTAGGAGTGGAAACAAGATTGTTCAAGCGAAGCACCAAAGTTCCCAATTCATGGGTTGGCATACACTCGACATTCTGCGATTTCTGTCTTACATTGGATATTCTGACGCACTAGATATTCTGACAGATACTAGATATTCTGTCATACAATAGATATTCTTACAGTCATACATTAGATATACTGACAAACACTAGATATTCTGTAATGCACTAGATAATTTGAGAGACACGGGCGCTAGATATTCTGACAGACACTAGATATTCTGACAGATACTAGATATTCTGTCATACCCTAAATATTCTGTCATACTTTAGATATTCTGACGGACACTAGATATTCTGTAATGCGCTTAGATAATCTGAGAGACACTAGATATTCAGTCATACAGTAGATATTCTGTCTTACACTAGATACTCTGACAGACACTAGATATTCTGTGAGACACTAGATGTTCATCAGTCATACACTAGATATTCTAACAGACACTAGATATTCTGACAGACACTAGATATTCTGACAGATACTAGATATTCTGTCATACCCTAAATATTCTGTCATACTTTAGATATTCTGACGGACACTAGATATTCTGTAATGCACTAGATAATCTGAGAGACACTAGATATTCAGTCATACAGTAGATATTCTGTCTTACACTAGATACTCTGACAGACACTAGATATTCTGTGAGACACTAGATGTTCATCAGTCATACACTAGATATTCTAACAGACACTAGATATTCTAACAGACACTAAATATTCTATCATACACTAGATACTCTGACAGGCACTAGATATTCTGTCATACACTAGATATTCTGACAGACACTAGATATTCTGACAGACACTAGATGATTCTGTGAGACACTAGATATTCTGTCATACAATAGATGAGTGAGTGTCAGCAATATATAAGTCAAATCAAGGTGGGCAATCACAACTGTTTCCAATTGTTTGGTACGTCAACACAAGTTTCCCGTGCAAGCACATCATACTCCTTTTGTTACTAAAAATATGTTTCTTATCTAAGATTTACCATAAAACTATATTTTTATATCATAAACCAAGAAGACTTCTCCATGTTGAGACGTTGTTTGTGTTGCAGTACACATTATGGAACTTTCTACCCAAGAACCTGTTCGAGCAGTTCCGACGTGTGGCCAACTTCTACTTCCTGTGTGTCGGTATCATTCAGGTAAGCCATCACCCGTCACCTTCACCCTTGGTGTTGGCAGTGTATGAAATAAGGCTCGTCCGACCGACCAAGATGGGCTTGATTTCTGGCGGACTGTCTAAATTTACAGCTAGCCAGCCCGGTGGTCTGGTAAAAATATAAGATAAAGGTTTAGTCGGATTTCTCTGAAAATGACTGTTACACAGTAAAAACATGTTTCAGGTTGATTGAAGTATTGACCGTAATTAAAAACTGACTTATTTTCTTTGGATTGTCTGGTTTGGTTAAATCCATTTTGGGTTGGTAACATTTTGAAGTTACCAGCCCTGATGTCTGGCTGGGTTTTTGGCTTATTTTATACACTGGTGTTTGTCAGTCATACTAAAACATAGATTATCGGTAATTATGTGAAGCCAAGCTGAGGCCTGATGTGCAGGTACACAAGATACAGGATATGGTGATGTCATGATAATATTTAATGGATGCTTTGTGAGTGACAATAATATGCTGGTGAGGGACATTTTTCGTTGCACGTGAGTTTGGTTTTACGCCACTTTTAGCAATATTCCAGCAATATCAAGGTGGGGGACACCAGAAAAGGGCTTCACACATTGTACCCATGTGGGGAATAAAATGTGACAAGCAAATGCTTTACCTAGGCTACCCCATCGCCCACTTTTGAACAAACTATATTTTCAGTCAGCGTTTCTAGCCAGATGATTTTTTCTCTCAAATGAAGAACAATTATTTTGCACTGAAAAGACACTATTTTTCTGAAAATGTCAAGAGGGCAAATGTTGTTGTTGTTGGAAAACCTGAAAACAAATTTTGGGAATAATATTTTTTTAAATATTCTTGATCCTGGATCCATAACCCAGAATTTCAAATTGTCAACACATTAAAGCAAAGCCAACCATGATGAATTTTTTTTTTGTCACAAGCTTTTTTCGACCGATCTGGGAAACACCCTTCTGCTACAATAATGTATCTTGAATGTGGTCTTCTCCTTTAGCTGCTGATAGACACCCCGGTGACGTCCATCACAAGCATACTCCCCCTGGTTTTTGTCATCTCGGTCACTGCCATTAAACAGGTAAGTGGTGTTCAGTTCATCCCCACAGAACCTTAATGTGTGGACAGTGGCACACCTTAATGCCTTAATGAGTGGATTGTGGCACTCCTGAACACTTTACTGAGCGGAATGTGGAACACCTGAACACTTTACTGAGTGCATGGTGGCACTCCTGAACACTTTACTGAATGGATTGTGGAACACCTGAACACTTTAATGAGTGCATGGTGGCACTCCTGAACACTTTAATGAATGGATTGTGGAACACCTGAACACCTTCATGAGTGCTTCGTGTCACACATGAAAACATTGATGAGTGGATTGTGGAACACCTGAAAGAAATATAAATTCACACCCATATGTACTTTGATATCTAATATATATACTAGCATGGATATATTTGAGGTCAAACGAAAGGAGTATGGCTAGTCTGACTGTCAGCATATCCCAGTTGGGTACATTATGTCAGTCACTGGACTGTCTGGCACAGACTCCATTATTTACAAACCCTAGTCCTACAGCGGGAAGATACCAACATAACACAAACAAAAACCAAACAATCAGGCTACCTAACTTTCTTGTCTTTGCATCGTTAAGGGCTGTATTGACTGACCACGTCCATTGATACAAACCTTCATCTACCCAGCCCCTGGAGGCGCACACTGTGCTATTATCTTGTTAATGGCTCTGGTGCATCGGGAATGTAAAGTCTATAAACTCTGGCGTACCTGTAATAGTGTTGTCAATACAGCTTGCTCAGTCATTACCTGTATAGGTGAAGACCAGTGAAGGGAGGCCTGATTGCCTATCACAATATTATTCATATTTAATTCATGATGCTACTGAAAGAGATTATTAGCCATTTGTTTCCATATTGTGAATTTCATATACTTGGAATAATAATATATATTATTCCTGGTGTATCATGTTCACAATATGGAAACACGCAAGAGTAATATCTTTATATTATTAATAAAGTACTGGGAGTTTGAGGATTAATTCAGTTTAATGAAGTATGGTAGCTTAAGAAGCCGTGTATGAGTACAGTCTTTGAGTGAACCACCCAATTTATCATATATTGACAGAATCACACATGGGAAAGTCACAAGGCAACCCTCTCTAAGGTTATCGGTAATGTTAGTCAATAGTTAACCGAGAAAGAAGACATTGCATCGATGTATGTGTGTTGGAAATAGGTCTTACTGGGTGACCTCATTTGCATATCTACCTCATCGTGATACTGTTTGTTGGATAAGCTTATCATGGTGATATCCCTTATCACCATGTGATGAAAAGGTCTTGAATGATTTTAAAGAGACTCTGTTCTTGATTTGCTGTGTATGTTTAAACATGACTGAACAGAATAAAAGTGAAACCAAATATGTTTGTAAGGGTTGGTTGTCCCATAATCCCTCCTGGCAATTGTGATGCTGCCAATGTTGACTGGTCGTCAGGTGTACAGGCAGACGGCATACAGACTCAGGTCGATAGTGCACACATTGCTTCCAATCTCTTCAATTGACCTATGAATGATTGACAATCAATCAATGTGTTGTACATTGCTGAGCTCTACCTGTGGAGTCAGCAAAGACTGAATGCATTATGATTAACCCATTAAGTGTTAAGTGAAATCTTTAATCTTTAATCAGCAGCTCAAACACGGAATTAATCGTGAAATAGTTGATAATAAATTCCTAACATGTTTGTTCATTATAATACATTTTTATGGAATAATGATGAAGATCATGAATTGTGTAAAGAAAAGCCTCACAAGTGTGTTTATACACAACGTCTCAAAGTGTATATCTGTCCTACTGTTTCTGTGTCTCTCTCTGTCCTTGGTGTGTGTATGTGTTTGTGTGTAAGTCTGTATCTTCAGTGTAGTCTCTGTGTGTATTGTATGTGTCTGTGTGTATGTGTAATGTATTGTGTGTATCTTCAGTGTAGTCTCTGTGTGTATTGTATGTGTGTAGTCTGTGTGCAATGTATGTGTTGGTGTGTAAGCCCCGTAATGTAAGTCTGTAAGTCTGTTTGTGTGTAAGTCTGTATCTTCAGTGTAGACTCTGTGTGTATATGTATGTGTTTGTGTGTAAGTCTGTATCTTCAGTGTAGTCTCTGTGTGTATTGTATGTGTTTGTGTGTAAGTCTGTATCTTCAGTGTAGTCTCTGTGTGTAATGTATGTGTTTGTGTGTAAGTCTGTGTATCTTCAGTGTAGTCTCTGTGTGTATTGTATGTGTTTGTGTGTAAGTCTGTGTCTTCAGTGTAGTCTCTAAGTCTGTATCTTCAGTGTAGCCTCTGTGTGTAATGTATGTGTTTGTGTCAAGTCTGTGTGTAATGTATGTGTGTTGTGTGTAAGTCTGTATCTTCAGTGTAGCCTCTGTGTGTATTGTATGTGTTTGTGTGTAAGTCTGTATCTTCAGTGTAGCCTCTGTGTGTAATGTATGTGTTTGTGTGTAAGTCTGTATCTTCAGTGTAGTCTCTGTGTGTATTGTATGTGTTTGTGTGTAAGTCTGTATCTTCAGTGTAGCCTCTGTGTGTAATGTATGTGTTTGTGTGTAAGTCTGTATCTTCAGTGTAGTCTCTGTGTGTAATGTATGTGTTTGTGTGTAAGTCTGTGTCTTCAGTGTAGTCTCTGTGTGTATTGTATGTGTTTGTGTGTAAGTGTATCTTCAGTGTAGCCTCTGTGTGTAATGTATGTGTTTGTGTGTAAGTCTGTATCTTCAGTGTAGCCTCTGTGTGTAATGTATGTGTTTGTGTGTAAGTCTGTATCTTCAGTGTAGCCTCTGTGTGTAATGTATGTGTTTGTGTGTAAGTCTGTATCTTCAGTGTAGTCTCTGTGTGTGTATTTGTCTCTCTGTGTGTGTATTGTATGTATTGACTAGACTGAAACTTGAGACTTATGGTTAAAGGTACCACCCAGTTTTACCCACAGACTCATATATTGGGGTAGTGAGAGAGTAAGTTTAGTTTTCTGCCTCACTCAGCAGTATTCCAGCTATATGGCGGCAGTCTGAATCAGACAATCCAGTGATCAACAGCATTAGCATCAATCTATTGGGATACGATGACATGTGTCAACCAAGTCAGCGAGCCTGACCACCCGATCCTGGACACATATATTGTCCCTTGTCGCTAGTGGTTAGAGTGACACCCTACTTCACCTTCAGCCACATGTGTTGTTGGTAAAGGTTAAACAGGGAGAAATCTGTAATTGCCTCCTATAAATCATGTAGTGGTGATACAAATAAACCACTCAGCACTCGGCTCATCGACTTAATGTAGCCGGTCAGGTTATGAGGAAAGACGTATAAGTTTGTCTTTATAAAGACAATGAATATTCAGTATCAGGGGAGTGCTGGAATGTATCATTTCAAAAATCAAAATTTTCAGAAACATAATTATACATAGATTGTATGCTGAATGTCTTTGAAGATGGACAGAACTTTATTCTGTGTCTGTGAATGAAATTTATGTATCTTTTTTAACATTCTGATCCATTTTATGCAACGTTGGGCAATTTCTTTTCATGTTGATTATTGTGAGTGTAATCCCAAAATCAGACAAATGGCTACAAACTGAGACACGCACATATGTATTGCTGCTGTGTGTCGGAAAAGGAACTCTGTAAACCAACAAACTGTCACAGTTATCAAATCCAAACATTAGGACAGTAAATATCTTGTATTTATTAACGTGTTCATTGACAAAGTGTGTTGAGAATTTCATAATGAATATTTACCTTAGTCTGTGACAAGGAATGTTTTTGAGCCAATAGATGACTAAGTGTTGATTATGAGAGGCGACCATATGAAAAAATGATGATGATGATGATGATGATGATGATGATGATGATGAAACATACATTCCATGTCAGTGCCTGCTTTGTTATTCTTACTGGTTATGGTGCTCAACAAACAGTTGTTTCTCTTGAGATGACTGTGAGTGGTTGTTATTGTTACAAATGATGCAACTCCGAGTGTTCTTTAAGATTAGTGATGTTTTTCCCTCCAGGGCTATGAAGACTGGCTGCGTCACAAGGCTGACCAAGAGGTCAACAACACGGCTGCCAAGGTCCTGCGAGGGTCAGAGACAGAGGAGATTAAATCTATGCATATCAAGGTAAGTGTGTAATGTGTTGCTTCTGATTGGTCAATCACCGGTAACTGTTTTCTGATTGGTTAGTCAGTTGTTGGTATTTGATTGGTCAGTAATGAGAGGTCTCAGACTGTCTAGGCAACAATTGGTATTTCATTGGTCAGTAATTAGCAGTCTCTGATTGGCCAGTCAACAATTAGTATTTCATTGGTCAGTAATCAGCAGTCTCTGATTGGCTAGTCAACAATTGGTATTTCATTGGTCAGTAATTAGCAGTCTCTGATTGGCCAGTCAACAATTGGTATTTCATTGAGTAGTCTTCAGAGGTTCCTGACTGGCAATTGAAACAGTTTGACTGGTCAGTAATTAGAGGACTCTGATTGGCCAGTATCCAGCTGTATCTGACAGGCCATGAGAGATATGTTCATGTTGACTGGTCAAGGATTCTCAGTCTTGTGTTATGTCATTGTTTGTTACATAGTATTTGGAAAATTGGAACACTCTGATAAAGCCCAAAGCAGACTAAATAATATTCCAAATATTCTAAAGCACAATTCCAACAGGAGTCAAATTCTTTTGACTCACCGTGTAGTTTAAGGGAAAGTAATATATTCTCTTTTATATATATAGTTAAATTATCATATTTCTTATGTTCTCTTTGCATTAGAAAGGGTGAAAGTCTCTTGTATCAGTATGAGTAGCAACCCACACACTAACCAGACCAGACATTATATCCAAACAATCCACATATTGACCAGATCAGACATTGTATCCAAACAATCCACATATTGACCAGACCCGACATTGTATCCAACCAATCCACATATTGACCAGACCAGACATTGTATCCAAACAATCCACATATTGACCAGATCAGACATTGTATTCAATCAATCCACATATTGACCAGACCAGACATGTATAAAACCTGTGCCATTGCTCCCCAGATGGATATTACTAGTTTGCTTCCTTTTTCGCGCGCTCGCTCGCTCCCTCCCTCCCTCCCTCCCTCCCTCACTCACTCACTCGATTTAGTCAGCTTTTATAACAACCTTGTTTGCTTGTGAATTGTTTGAAACAAAAGGATGAAAATGTCTTCTCTTCTCGGTGTTATGACAAACCTCTTGACATTCATTCATTATTCAAACAGGACTTGTGTTATCATGTTTTACTGGTTTAAATCCCCTTATAATATTTTCTCCAGTGCGTGTTGAACCACATTAACATTCCAAACAGCGAACTAATGAGTGTGAGTTATGTTCCGAACATAAAGCATCTGGTTGTAGTAGCTGCTTGTGTTCAGTCATTGAAACCGAGAGGAGGATTGTGGGAATCTCCTGATGGATACAAGGATGCCATTGCAATAGGTTAATGGTTGTCCATTTTTGTCAGTATCTTCATACAGTCTCATAAGGATCGCATCTTTTTAGTCTAAAACGATATGTTTATGGTTGAACAGGTTAAGCTTTTGAGCTACATTTGCAGTTTCGCATAATTCCATAAAATGTCCAACCTCTATTACATCTGTAAATTCCTGTTTTGGGTTCATCACATGATAAAATCTTCAGATTTTTCCAACAGTTCCTCTTCTCTGTCAACTGTGTAATTATTTTTTGGTAAACCATGGGTTAGGCTCAATGCATCTGCCGATGTGCGAGGCAGGAAAGCATCACTTCTTTCCAGTGTGTGCGTCAACGTGCCAAAATTTTGAAGATCACCATGAAGCACATGGTTGGATATTAGTGACAATACAAGATTAAAATATCTGTGCAAACCACCCACAGTCTTCATTTCTCAGAAGCTTAAATTTTATCGGCAAATATCAGGACAGCAAATTATTAAAAAGCTTTCTGAAAAATACTATTTGAAAAGTATGGTTGTAAAAATGTTGCAAATACATTTTATGTTGATGTCATAACAACTTTTGTCAAAATGACATCATTAGCTTTATTATTACAATCTGTCATGTTGCAAAAATTGCAGAATATGATAATTGATTGTGAATATTCCCCTGTCCTTTTTTACAGCCAAAAATGTATTGTGCTAATTTATTGCAGGGCTCAATTTAAGGAAATGAAACCTATTTTCATGTAGTGCAACCTTTGGTACTAAACAAAATAATTGTTGAATTTCTGAATGTGATGTGAGTGTTGTTTTAGATCTTGTTGCAGTCATCTAAAATATTATTATGCTTGTGATGCTGACTTACATAAGTATCTGTGAAGTATGCATGTATTTCACCTAATTTTTAAGATCACAGCAACACTTTGAAGATTTCAGCATGTTAACCTGCATATTAAGATTATCAGCAAGATATCTCAAGAACGGTTCACTGGATTTTTTTCACAGTCTTTCAAGACTTCTCTTTAATGTTTTTTGTCAAGCAATTCCTTTATTACTATTTTTGCATATTTCATGCACTATCACATTCATGTCAAGGTCAAAGTGAGTCTTGAAATATTTGTGTGTTTGAACAACTACAGATATGAAGAAAGGTTGACTGGTCATGTCTAAGCTGACATTTAACTTCATCTTAGACTACGACCTTCACTTTCATTACTGTTTAAGTTTGATTTGATAATTTGTGGAGGGGGATTATGTAACCTTAGTGACAATGCTTGTTATTAAGTCATCTTTAAAAACCATGATGAATAATTAACCTTGGAATCGTTCCAGTGTCAGTTATCTACAAGCTGTAACATTTCCATTTTCTGATTTACAGGCATTTTTTCAACATTGTCAACTTGGTATATGCCGAAGACATCATACATTAATTATCATGCAGAACAGTATTATCTTGTTATCAAACACCCTGTTGAAAAAATACTTAATGCCAAACCTGAAGCATTTGTTTACCTTTATGACATAGCGAGTGAGTGAGTGAGTGAGTTTAGTTTTACGCCGCACTCAGCAATATTCCAGCTATATGGCGGCGGTCTGTAAATAATCGAGTCTGGACCAGGCAATCCAGTGATCAACAGCATGAGCATTGATCTGCGCAATTGGGAACTGATGACGTGTCAACCAAGTCAGCGAGCCTGACCACCCGATCCCGTTAGTCGCCTCTTACGACAAGCATAGTCGCCTTTTGTGGCAAGCGTGGGTTGCTGAAGACCAATTCTACCCTGGATCTCCACGGGCCTATGACATAGCATTATCAGTATTGGATAGAGATACAACTTGGATAATGCTGTCAACATGGTCAGTAGATACTTAGTCCCAGACCAGTGAACACCTAGCATTGAAATCATTAAATGTCAGCAGGTTTTCTTTCTTGAGGATTCAGAACTTATTTAAAGTGGCTTTGCCTGGAATTTTTTGAAATAATTGCAATTTAGCTCAAGTGGATTCGTGGAAAACATCCTGTCTGCAAAGCCATGACATTAGGTTTTCATGCGTTAAAGTTGTGACGTTTGTAAATCCAATTTGTGAAATCTTTTTGACACTTTCTGAAAATTTGAGGCTTGAGCTAAATTGCAGTTATTTATTTGTTCAATTGGCGGTGTGTGGCCCTTTGCATAGAGCTCAGGTCACAATCAGTTGAAGTTAAGCAATGGTGGTCGCAGACAGTCCTCGGATGGGTGACAGTGTGGCAGCTTGACTCCTGAGAGTTTCTAGGACTTCAGTCCTGCCCCACAACAAAGTATATGTGATACATGTGGTTTCACCTTAGGCAAGTGAGTTTGTTCAAACTTGCCTCTGTTCACCTTGTTGACCAGGGATAATATGTCAGCGCTTTCAGCATGCAATGTGCATGGATAAATGGGCAATATAAGTGGACTATTATTATTATTCATGTTTGCTCAGGGACTAATATTTCTTTTAAACAGTTTGGGAATACACAACTACAACTGCAACTTCCTCCACAGTATTTCTCGTTAAAACAATCATTCTACCAGTATATACTATTTCACTAGGATTGAGTGAGATCAGCACCAGTGGAATTTTGAATTTTGAACCACATTTCAGTGGACAATCAGCTAGTTGGTTTTAGAGTTTAGAATAGGATATGATATGAAAGTTGTCATATGGGAGCATGAAAAGCAAAAATGTGACAGTATCAATAAACTCTTAGCCAGTGTGAACGTCAACAGTGGTGCCCAGTGCTCACAAATGGTGTTTCAAAGTAACAGGACATTGGGTCCTGTAAATTTCAGATGTCTGTCTGACCCATTGAAAATTCACAGGACTCACAGAATAAAATTAAACAATCATTTCAGATTTAACATTTCTGATTATTGGCATTGAAATTATTAACAAAGAGAAGATTTATGAACAGCAAACAAGTGTCACATGTCACATAAAACAACTTCAGTCAAAGTCATTGTGAAATATACAGTCAGACGCTTGGGCCGGCGGGTTGTTGACTTCTATCGGACCGTTGGCGAATCTGCCAGATTTGTCAGAGGGTCTGACGCTATTTATGAACACTGGGTGCCAATGGTCGATTACCTGTTCAGTTTACTGGCAACTACACTTGGCAAACTATTCTGTCCTTGTTCATAAATACATGGCATAATAGTTTCTAAGTTAACTAATGAGTGAACAATATTCATTGGACAGTGATGAACTGTCATTACTACTTCATGCGGAAACGTTTAGATATTGTCTTTTGATATAGACAGATAAATTGGCTATGTTTAATAAAGTTTTGCTAGCACATGCTTTGTAACTATTTTCCAGAAACTGCTATTTAATGTCTAATCACTTAATTACGATGTAAATCCATACTGTCAAAGCATGCCAACAAAATGAACAGCAGATAATGGTAAACATGTCTGCAAAACAATCTATTACTGTACTCATGAATAATTCCTCTTAAAATCAGCAATGAACAGATATGCATGAACATTATTGTAATATGTATTATATTTCAGTTGACAATGCACATTATTCGATCCTACCTTTGCATAACTAAGTGTTAGAAAGTAGTATGTGCAAGGATACATCCCCTATAAACTAATAACATTAATTGGGTCATAAATTGAATAAGAAACAACAAAAATCAAGTCCAGTTTCACTGC